CTCCCTCCTCCTCCCGTGATCCGTCGATCAAGGTTTACGTCTACCATAGTGTCCAGTTTGATCCGCCCCTCCAGGGGCAAACGCCCCCCCGGGTGGGGGGAGCCAGCGTCAGGACGCCTCTCGTGCCATCATCAACGAATCAAGAGGAGGAGGATGAGGAGGAGGAGGAGGACAAGGAGGAGGAGGAGCAGGAGCAGCAAGAGAAGCAGCAGGAGGAGAAGGCCAGACTCCAGAGCACAAGCGAGGCAAGAGCGCCACGCATCCTGAACGATTCAATTGAGAGGGCAGAAAAAAACGCAGACACAAAGAATCGTCGATTACCAAGAAAACGCGGAAGATATGCGAAGTGGCGGGGAAGACGAACCTCCAGGAAGTGTGAAAAATAAGGGGGATCCTGGGATCTGAATCTATTCATGTGTGTGTCTCTGGGCACCTTCGCTCAAGTTGTGCAGAAGTCGTCGCCGCCGCCGCCGGGGATCGCCGAACTCAGTTTTGCTCGAGCTGTTCACCCTCGGGAGGCCCGTTTCGGGTCCTGGGACCGTCGAGAGGGATGCCTGGGTATCCCGCCTCGCGCCCTCGACGAACGCCGACACCACGGACAGCAGACCGCGGCCGCCAGGCCCCAACTGCAAGTATGCTGGTGGTTCGTCGCCCGCCTCGCGCCCTCGACGAATGGTTACACAGCGAGCACACGTCAATATCAGACACCAGTAGCGCTGCCGCAAAGCAAATGCACATGAAGTCATCATGAACGTGCATGCCTAAATCAGAGCTGTACACACCATGGAAGTACTCTGCACGCGCACTGGACACGCGCATGTATCGTACATGAGTGGTATACATGGCCACACAACCGGCATACGTAACACACGTGTGCGACAACGCTAGCATACACACCACGCATCTTTCATCACGCTCATACGTACATCGTAAGTTTGGTGCACGTAGCACAGACAGAAGAACACACGTCACATTACGGGTCGCATAGCATGATATGAACGGCGACTAATCAGGCACAACATGCGTCGCCACGTCATGCTGTCCTGAAACCATACGAGCGAATCAACGACTAGTGAGAAAACGATAGACAGCACAATAATACAAACCTATCTACGTATTAATCGACTTGTCAGACATAGCAGGCGCCCCGACATCAGGCCAGCCCCACGGGAACCAAGCGCAGCAACGACCGTCTCATGAATGACTGACGTCACGGCAGACAGCATGGTGACAATTGTTTGGCACCTGGATAAGGTACATTTTTATACGTAAGCATGCCAAGTTTACGCAGTGCGTCACGGCGTCGCGTTGGCCCGTGAAACTCCGAGCGTTGCATGAACCGTTAGATTGTGCATGTACCAGGCGCAACAGCAGATTCTACTGGGCGGGCCACACATCCACTCATTACGGTGGGCCTGACAGGGTGACCACACAAAGGCGGGCCACACATCCAATCATTACGGTAACAACGCCCATGCGTATCAGACATCGATACAGACAGGAATCTCCTATGTATTGACAGCAGCATTCCACGGCGAATTGGACACGGCAGGCGTCAGGACGTCACGGCGGCTCAACAAACACCAAGTGCAACAGCGACCGTAAACGGCAGGCAGCTTGATAATATCAAATGGTAGAAGCCTGCAACGGTTCATTAGGTAGGACAGTCGTCACGCCGTTTCGCCGACCAGAGAGGTCGGTCGGGGCAACAGCCGTTGAGAAAGAACAGGCGTCACGGCAGACAAACAAGAACATGATAAACAGCAGTATTAAACAAAACGATATACATCCCACGAGCAAGCAGGCACACCAGGCGTCGCGACGTCACGCTGGCCCGAGAATGAACACCAATCGCAGCAACGACCGATTCAAAAAGGGCGCATGCCATACAGTCATCCCGCATAGTAAGGATGAGCGACTTCCCAAGGCTACCCTTGCATCCTTCCCCCTCCTGTCCATCCTCGGGCCTCTTTCGCTGGCCTCGCCCTGCTCGCAAAGTGTCGGCATGGCTTGTGTCCTTATTATACGGTCGATTGTATCAGTATTGAAGCATGCCAGCGCCACAGACAGGATGGGAATGCAAGGTAATGTGAGCATTCCATGACTGAACGTGCATCGCAGGCGCCCCGCTGTCACGCCAGTCCGAACAGTACCAAACCAACGACCACGTCTCGAGACAACGACAGCCTGCATGGCAAGACAGCGTGATGCAAGCATTCCACGGTTACTTGATTAGCATCCCGCCAGGCCCCACCAAATTCCGTCGCTTCAGTATCCCGCCCTCCATGCCTATGCAAGAGCACGGCAGGACCATGACATGCGAGGACGGAAAAACACGACAGAGCAGTGACAGAGGAAAGCGATCAGCCATGCCAGCATGCGAACGATGCAAGCCGAAAGCGACATGTGGTACATGTTGTCCGCCATCCGACAGGCTGAGGTTGTGCCGGCGCTGTTTTAGTCAGCCGCCCGGCATGTTCCGGTTGTCAGTTGGTCTTAGCCCGCCCATGCGGCGCGTATCGGCGGGGTCGCAAAATTGCGTTTCTACGTTTCCCTAGCGGCCCCGCCGCCGCCCAGGGCAGTGCGCCGCTCCCGGGAGGAGGACGAGGGAGAGGAGGAAGGGGATGAGGGGAGAGGAGGACGAGGCAGGACGAGGAGGAGCCACAGGAGCAGGAGGAGGAGGTGGAGGAGGAGGGGGATGATGGATTACGACGGAGGAGGAGGAGGAGGAGGAGGAGGAGGAGGAGGAGGAGGAGGAGGAGGAGGAGGACGAGATGGAGGAGGACCAGGAGGCGCCGCAAGGGCAGCGGCGGTCTGGGCTGCTGGCCGGGTCGGCTACGTGTAAGAGAGACCCCTCGCAGGAGTGACCTCTGCTGCGGGCTCACCGGGGTCCCCCCGATCGCTGAGCGCGATGCGATAGTGGCTGCTGGCGCGCTTGGATTCGGCCGCCTTGCGCCCCACAGTCTGCGCACTAAAGGTCACTCTTGCCTGGGGTCACTCTTGGGTGTAGCCGGACGGGAAGGAAGAATCAATCGGGCACAAGCTTCAAGTTCTTCATCTGCCCACATTCCTTTTCCTCCGCCGCCGTCCGCCTCCTCTGCCGCCCTGTTGCGCGAATCCATTCTGAAGGTGTGGGCATCGCCGGGGATAAGTGCCGAAGGTTTCGGTGGGGATCGATCGAGGCTTTGCTCATCCCATGGTCTTTTTCCAGATGATTGCCCCATCCTCTGGCGAGGCTGAGCTTTGCTGGGCAAGGGGTCACTCCGGCCTGGGGTCACTCTTGCATATCGCCGATGAGGCGTGCAAGAAGGGGCCGCAGACGTGCTCGCGTCGTGAATCAAAACCAGGACGGGCGTTTTTTCATTGTCTTCGTCCTCGGGGTGCCCTGACCAGGCCCTGGGACCGTCAAGAAAACGACTCGGGGTGAAAAGCCGGTCCTGGGGAAAGAGTCGGGACTTCCGGTGACCGCATGCTGACAAAAATCAGGATGTCGCATGCCCAGGGCCTCGTCTTCGAGGATCGGCTTCCTCGGCGGAAGGCGTCGGAAGGCCGGCGGAACGCGGCTGAATGCCGCCGGAAGGCCAGTTGAAAACGGCGGAGGTAAAACGAGGCCGCCTCCGCTCGCGGAAGCTCAGCAGAAGGTCGGCGGAAGTTTGCCATGGGGGAAGCGGATCCTGAGGGAAACGAGGTCCCGAGGTTTTGTGCCGTTTTCGGGCTCTCGGGGCCCTCCACGGGCCCCATGACTATCAGGAAACGACTCAGGATGTCACCACCCACCAAACCACCCCAACCCAACCCGAAGGCTACAATTTGCCATCCATTTCCAGTGTGGGGGGGGGGGGCGGGGAACACTGTAAAAACACATGGAACCCGTAATTACCCCCCCAAACCCGAAGTCCGAAGTTCGACTCAAATTCGGGTCTTCGGGTTGGGTTGAGGTGGTCTGGTAGGTAGTCAGGATGAAGACCTCGTCCTGGAGGAATGCCCCACCGTCCAGGACCCGTTTCCCTCAGGACCCGTTTCCCCCATGTTGGGGAATTAAGAGTCGGCCTCTAAGTTCTAAGAGAGGGCAAGGTTTTTTTGGTTCGTTTTTTTTTGAGCTCGCTGAATTGGGGGGAGGGGTCGAGGGCAGCACGAGAGGGGCCCAAGAGGGGGCTCCTCAGGGGTCCGGAAGGTGCACGAAAGGACACCCCCCCTGTCAGGGCCCATTGCGATTCGATCTATTCGATTCGATATCGCTTTCGGCCAGCTCGAGCCGATTCGATTTCGAATTCCCGGCGATCCGAGATGCGGTTCGATGCATGCATGTCGTTATTGTACATCTTGGTGCAGCCGATCCGATTCGATCTCGACTCCGTGCCGATGCGGCCCGATCCGACGCACACTCCAGTGCGATCCGACCTCTCCATTCGATGCTGCCTGGTCCTGCCGTTGAGCGACCACCCATGGCGCAACGCCCAAGACTCAGTCTCGTTGAGCCGATCCCTATCCTCATCCCCATCACCATCCCGATCCTCGCCATCCCACCATCCCAGTTGGGGATATGCCCCTCGAAACCCGAATGGAACAACCCATACGGTAGGTTCGCGTCGCGTCGACCAGTGGCGACCCCGCCGCCAGCGTTCAACGTCGAACGCCGGCGGTGACCCAGAATCGGTCGATGTTGAACGACCTGACGTTTCGGAGACGGCCGATCGTATCCCCGCGGTGTCGAAACCAACGCCGAAGTGGGCACGACACGAACCTGCTGTATCCCCATCCCTAGGGGGTAGATTGGCCAGTGAGGCCCAGGCCACGCCGTTAAGGATAGGGATCGGTGAACCGATGCTCCAAGACTCGTCGATGAACGGGCTCGCGGTCGAGACGCGGTCGGCCGTCGACGACGGATGGCCTCCCTCGTGGCATCGCTCGGACGTGCGCATCATCTTGCGAAAGCATGAGCGCACGAAGCCGAACGAGCCACGGGGGATGGGCGTCCGAGCGAGGGCGAGCCCTCCGAGGCCTGCTGGTCCACCTCGAGGGTGCCCAGGGGGCGTACGAGGCGGGCCAGGGCGGGCGCCTGCTGCGCCTCGAGGCCGCGGCGTCCTGCCGCCCCCGCGGGGTCGCGCGCGCCAGCGGTTGGTGGTGGGTCGATCGCGATCGATCGATCGATCGGGTCCTTTTGGGCTAATTTTCGAGCGACGCAAAAACAGAAAAAACGGTTTTGTCTGCACCGACATTGGCGCGCAAGCTGCCCGCGGAAGGTCGCGCGTAGGCGCCCTCGCTTCAAACGTGGCGTGCCGCGCGGGCGGCCCGCGTAAGCCATCACGTAAGGTCGCTACGTCATCTCGCGTAAGTCCCGTTTTGGGTCGTCGCTCATTGGGGCTCGGGGCGGCCCGATCGATCGTGCGGTCCGTCGGGATCATCGGTCGGTCGATCGGGCGTCGATCGAGCGGGCGGTCGATCGATCGGGCGGTCATTGATCGATCGGGCGGTCATGGATCGATCGACCGGGCGGTCGGTCGATCGTGCCCATTTGGGCTCAGGATGGCCCGATCGATCTTCCCCCCTCAGACTTTCGATCTCCTCTTCGATCTCCTCCTCCCTCTCGAGGGTCCTCACGACGGGTGCTGCGGTAGGTTCGTGCGGCGTCGGCGCGCGCAAAGGTTCTTGACACCGCGTCGATCATTCAGCCTTGAAGAGATCGCGGCCCCGATCGTTCGAGGTTGACTTCTAGACGCTTCGCGTAACCTTACCAGCTAACCCGAGTAAGCGATTAAGGACCCCCCCCCCCTCTCCGGTGAAAGGATAACGCACCCGGCACCCGGAAGCGTTATCCTGGCACCAGGAGGGGGTACACCAGATCGCACGGGTCCCACGGAGTCCCGCAGGTCTCGCAGGTCCCACAAGTTTCAAAGTGGTTCCCGTGTGAGGTCCCACAGGTCCCACGGGTGTCGCAGGGGAGGGGCTTCTTATTCTCATTACAATTCTAATTGGGATGCCACCCGAGGCGGGGCGCTGGAATTATTTATTTTCCTTCCATTTGCGCGGTGCTAATAATATCGCTCGGCGAAAACCCCCCAAATAATTATTTAATTACGGCGCGGTGCTAATGATAACGCCGGGGGGTTCCTTAATTGTTTCTCCGGGTTATTTACATCGTCACGCGCCCCGGACGTTGTGTTTGCTCCCTGTCATCCGCCTTGGAGCCGCGAGCCAAACAATTATTCACTGCGTGGGGATCCCCATATGTGCATCTCCTTGCTGGCGCTCCCTTGGTGGTGGGACTCGGTGAGGACGAATCTGGATTTAAGTGTGACTGAGCTGCCTCTCTCTCTCTCTCTGCTCTCTCTGTCTCTCTCTCTCTCTCTGCCCTCTCTCTGTCTCTGCCTCTCTTTCCCTGCCTCTCTCTCTCTCTGCTCTCTCTCTCTGCCTCTCTCTCTCTGCCTCTCTCTCTCTCTCTGCCTCTCTCTCTGTGCCTCTCTCTCTCTGCCTCTATCTCTGCCTCTCTCTCTCTCTCTCTCTCCTCTCTCTCTTCTCTCTATTCTCTCTCTGCTCTCTCCTCTCTCTCTCACTCTCCCTCTCTCTCTCTCTCTCGCTCTTCTCTCTCTTCTCTTCTCTTCTCTTCTCTTCTCTTCTCTTCTCTTCTCTCTCTCTCTCTATCTCTCTCTCTCTCTCTCTCTCTCTCTCTCTCTCTCTCTCTTCCCTCGCTCTCTCTCTCTCTCTCTCTCTCTCTCTCTCTCTTTCGCTCTCTCGCTCTCTCTTGCTCTCTCTCGCTCTCTGTCGCTCTCTCTCGCTCTCTCTCTCTCTCTCTCTCTCTCTCTCTCGCTCTCGCTCGCTCTCTCTCTCTCGCTCTCTCTCGCTCTCTCTCTCTCGCTCTCTCTCTCGCTCTCTCTCTCTCTCTCTCTCTCTCTCTCTCTCTCTCTCTCTCTCTCTCTCTCTCTCTCTCTCTCTCTCTCTCTCTCTCTCTCTCTCTCTCTCTCTCTCTCTCTCTCTCTCTCTCTCTCTCTCTCTCTCTCTCTCTCTCTCTCTCTCTCTCTCTCCTCTCTGCTCTCTTCGCTACTGGCTTCTGACGGAGTCTGGGTTAGGTGAGCCTGAGTGTGGGTGAGTCTGAGTATGGGTACGTCTGTGTGTGCCTGACTCTGAAGAAATGAATCTGAGTGTGAGTGAGCTTGTGTATGAGTGAGTCTGGGTGCGAGTCTGAATCCCAATGGTGCCCCTGGCAGTGTCTGGCGACTAGGAGGCCCGGGTCGACTCCTCTTTGGGAAGCCAAAATGCTGCCCCTGGCAGCGTTTGGTGACTATGAAGCCCCTGGTGGACCCCCCCTGGGGCTCCCAAATGATGCCCCTGGCAGCGTTTTGTGACCATGAGGCTCTCAAGAGATACATGTTGGGGACGCCAAACGGCAATTCTAGCTGAGGCGTCCCACCAAAATCGGCGCGAACGGGCTCGTGAGATCAGCCAGGGTGGCTCCCCCTTGGGGCTCCCAAATGATGCCCCTGGCAGCGTTTTGTGACCATGAGGCTCTCAAGAGATACATGTTGGGGAGGCCAAACGGCAATTCTAGCTGAGGCGTCCCACCAAAATCGGCGCGAACGGGCTCGTGAGATCAGCCAGGGTGGCTCCCCCTTGGGGCTCCCAAATGATGCCCCTGGCAGCGTTTTGTGACCATGAGGCTCTCAAGAGATACATGTTGGGGGCGCCAAACGGCAATTCTAGCTGAGGCGTCCCACCAAAATCGGCGCGAACGGGCTCGTGAGATCAGCCAGGGTGGCTCCCCCTTGGGGCTCCCAAATGATGCCCCTGGCAGCGTTTTGTGACCATGAGGCTCTCAAGAGATACATGTTGGGGAGGCCAAGCGGCAATTCTAGCTGAGACGTCCCACCAAAATCGGCGCGAACGGGCTCGTGAGATCAGCCAGGGTGGCTCCCCCTTGGGGCTCCCAAATGATGCCCCTGGCAGCGTTTTGCGACCATGAGGCTCTCAAGAGATACATGTTGGGGACGCCAAACGGCAATTCTAGCTGAGACGTCCCACCAAAATCGGCGCGAACGGGCTCGTGAGATCAGCCAGGGTGGCTCCCCCCTTGGGGCTCCCAAATGATGCCCCTGGCAGCGTTTTGTGATCATGAGAGAGTGTGAGTGTGAGTGAATGTGACTGTGAGTGAGTCTGAGTGAGAGCGAGTCTCATCTTATCTTATCGAGTCCTATCTTATCTTACCTTTATTACCCTCTATCTTATCTTGTCTTGAAATATCTTATCTTGTACTAGCTTATCTTATATCAACTCATCTTATCGCATCATATCTTGTCTTTTCTTATTACTCCATAGGCTGTCTTATCTTATCTATTATCTTACCCTGTCATATATCTTATCTTACCTTATCATATATTGTGCTATCTTATCTTATCTTGTAGTATCTTATCTTGTCTTGTCTTATCTGGTGATTATCATTGGGAGGAGGGAGGCGGGAGGCGGGAGGAAGGAGGAGGAGTGGGAGGCGTCAGAGTAATAACAAGAACCCCAATCCTTAGGATATGGGGATATGGGGAAGTAACCTTACCAGCCCTTCCAGAGACGATGTTCAGAGGTGCTGCCTCGATCAGGGAAGTGGGCAGCCCACACAGGACGGGTCCCTCTTGGAGCGTCTTGGGTGCCTCGGGGAGCCTCTTTGGGTCTCTTGGGAGTCTCTTGGAGGCCTCTAGAGGCGCCTCCTGGGCGCCTCGTGGGTCTCTTGGGGCCCTCTTGAGGCGCTGTTGGGAGCCTTGAGAGCGCTCTCGGGGCCATTTTGGAGGAGATCGCTCAAAAAAGGGGGGAGCTTGAATTACGATCCCCCCTCGGGAGCCCCGCAAATCGCCTCTTGGACCCCTCTTGGAGCGCTCTTGGGCGCTCTTGGGACTGGTTTGGGGCTCTCTTCGGCCTCTCTTGGGGATCGTAGGGGCCCCTTTGAGCTGTCTCGAGGCCTGTCTCGAGGCCTCGGAAGGCCATCGACCGAAAAAAAGCGAGAAGGCCGAGTTCACTGATTTTCTTGAGGTGTCTGGAGGATTTTGGCCTCTTGGCGGCCTCTGGGGCAGGTTCCCTGGCCACTCGGAACCGCCTTGGAGCGGTCTTGGGGCCTCTTGGAGCACCTTGGGAGCCATCTGGAGCCACCTACGCCCTGCAGGGCTGGTGGGAGTCCGTCGGGTCCAACGGCGTTACCGTGCCCCTGCGTGCCTCCGCGGCGCAGGAGTCAACCTTGAGCGCCTTCGCCGGCGCCGCCGGTGCGCCAACGCCGCATATGACCCTACCGCAGCGCCAGCGTGCGCTCGTCCACCGAAACCCTTGCTGCGACGCGGTCGGTGCGCCGCCGGTCGGTCGACCGCTCCGGGACCTCCGCCTCGAGCGAGCGAGCGAGGATCTCTCTCTCTCTCTCTCTCTCTCTCTATATATATATATGTGTATATATATATATATTTATGCATACACACATATGTATATGTTTATATATATATATACATGCATACATACATACATACCTACATACATACATACATACATACATACAAACATGCATGCATACATACATGCATACATACATACATACATACATACATACATACATACATACATACATACATACATACATGTATGTGTATGTATACGTATATATATATATATATATCAGTAGCATTGAGTTTCTCATGCGATGTATCTCCCCTGGTGCGTCCCTTGGCACGTCCATCCCGTTGCCGCCTCCCCCTCAGCCGCTTTGGCGAAAAGAGGTTCCTGGGGGGGGGTACTCCTTACAGCCCCCCCAGGGCCGCGGCCCAGGCCTCCCCCCCGTGGCGTGGGATGGCCGCTCGCTGAGCTGGGCGGGGCTCGCGGTATCTCCGCCGCGGGCCGTGCCGCTGCCGCGCCAGCCCGCCCTCGTGATGGTGTGCGGCAGGCGGCGTCGGGCGAGGGTGGCGCAGGCGGCGGCGGCGTACTGGTGGGGCCCGCGGGCGGCCTCCTGGGCGTTGGCGCTGGCGGGGGCGCTGGCGGCCCTGCCCCTTGGCGTAGGCGGGATGCGGCCCCCGCCTCAGCCGCGCCTCGCCAGAGCCGCGGCGGCCGCGGGAG